TTACATTAACAATTCTTCCGAGGGTATTTCTTCCTAAGATGTGCCAAAAATACACAAAACAGACAATTTTTAAGAATAATTATCTTCTTAATTAACACACCCCTATATAATATAGCAACTTACTTTTACAATACCATATACAAAAGTTTATTAACATCCTCTAGTTATATATACAATAGTTTCTATCTTGCACAAAGTCTATCTAAGATCAATAGGCACGGTAGTGTTTCGTGTCAAGTTCACGCGCAACGAAGTAGCGCTCGAACTGCGCGAGCACACCGTGTCTATTATGCACGAGATTCATGCAATTGAGAAGTGGGTAATATTCACAGGGCAATATTTCAAAATTGACAAAATCGATCATTTTCGTTTTAGTCTCAATCGATTCAGAATAAAACATTTTAGAAAAATGTATTATTGCGTTTTCTTTGTTTATATCTTCTAATCGAAGATTATCGATTACTATTTTTAGGCGTGTTCGTATAGCAGCAGATAAGGAATCAGCAGCGAGAGGTAGGCAGCTGGGACTGTGGATAGATCAAAGAGCGCTAGTGATTACGCTCTTCTTAATATCCAAAAAGATATATTTCTTTTGTCCAACTATTTACATGCTATATACAGATAGGTTTTGATAAGAACCGTTTAGTGTTATAGTGTCAAGTGGTTTTCTTGAGAGCTTGCAATGACGGCGGTTATGATTGTGATTCTTCTTGCTTCGACGTACTCTCGGTGGGCTGTGCGATCGCCGTAGTGAGTGCTGTCGGCTGCGGGAGCGATGGCGTCGTCTCTCTGTAGATCTGTGATCTCTGCTACGGATCTCGCCGGTGATATCTGTCTGGACGGCTCGTGTTCTCCGTGGAGAGGTCTCCCAGTCACTGTGGTCACTCTGTGTTTCCTGCTCCTTATATAGTGACCGAGGAGCGGGGAGCGAGACCTAGTGAGATGCGTAGTGGAAGATCCCAAGGTGACGTTTTGTAGCGGTGCCTTGGTGATGTAGCGGAATTCCGGTGGCTTGCCAAGGTAGCCGGGGAATGAGGACCTGCACCTCCAATTATGAAGATGATTGAGGAGTCTTGGCCAGAGAGATTGTAGAAGCTTCCTTGGGGTTGATCCTGATCTCCTTGTCGTCTGTCGATGCTGGTAGTCCTGCTGCTTGGTCTTTCTTTTTCGCTGTCTGGAACTTTTCGGATCGTGGCAATACGGTTTGGCGTCGCTGTTATATTGACGACGCCGCACTTTTCACTACTGTGTTACGGCTCGCGGCCGTGCGCCGCGTAGCAGCGGCGCGCTCAAACTGCGCGGCCGGCCGTCGGTCGGTAATGGTGGTGGCTATAATCGCCACACTAAACTTAAAGTTTTGATATAAAAAATTTACGTTTTTAATAAACGTCATAGTCTTCGTTGAAGTGTGCATGTTCACATGCTTGCTAACAAATGGCATACAATGTACGGGCGCGTTGAAAGATTTAAAGTATGCAAAAGTGACAAGTGGTATGTAAACGAAAAGCGTCAGGAGAAGATACTGTTACGTAAGCGTAAGTATCTTAAAACAAATTGTTGCAAATTCGAGCGTGTTTGAGCGGAATCAAGCGTGTTCCAGCGAATTGGAATGGATTCAAGGGTGTTGGAGCGGATTTGAGAGAGTTCAAACGGATTGAAGCGGATTGTTGAAGATTGGAACGGATTTGAGAAGATTCGAGCGAATTCGAGCAGAATCGAGCGCGTTCGAGCGGAATCGAGCGTGTACCAACGAATTCGAGCGGATTTGAACGAATTAAAGCGGATTTGAGAAGATTTTAGCGGATTTGAACGGTCGAGTGTGTTTGAGCAAAATCGAGCGTGTTCAAGCGGATTTAGGCGGATTTGAGCATGTTTGAGCGAATTCAAGCGAGTTCGACTAGAGTGAAGCAGATTATTGTAGATAAAAACGGATTCGAGAAAATTTGAGCGGATTCAAATGAATTCGAGTGTGTTCGAGCGGATTCAAGCAGACTGAAGCGGATTCGTGCGGATTCGAGCAAATTTGAGCGGAATCGAGCGTATACCAATGGATTGGAACGGATTCTAGCGCGTTTGAGCGGATTCGAGCGGGATTGAAGCGGATTGTTACAGATTAGAGCGGAATCAAAAAGATTTGAGCGGAATCGAGCGTGTTTGAGCAGAAATAAACGTGTTCAAGCAAATTCGAGCGGAATCAAGCGTTCTTGAGCGGATTTGAGCGTTTTAACAGGTTTTAATAGCGGATACCTCTGCAAAAAATTAACGTCAGGATAAATAAAAGCTCTATTTCAAGCTTAAACATTTTTCTTAACAACCAAAAACTTAAACTTGAGTTACAACAATATTTTACAAAATAGCGGCTATTGAAGATAGACTGTGAAAAACGAGAAGAAAACTTTTGTCTTTAAACTGCTGCATTGGTTAGAAAAATCGATTGCCTGGTACAAAATTGTATGAGTTGTGAAACTCATTTCTTTTCAAATAACTCCGTATTTGAAACATGTTTCTACGAGTTTTTTATAGAAAGTTATACCGTTTAAAAAAACTAAGTAACTTTTTCTTTAAATTTTTCTCTAAAATTTGTAATTCAGAAACAAATTATTGTGGAAAACTTCTTCAAAAACAAAATTAAAGTGTAAACCCTAATCTTTAAAACTGTTTTTATTTTACTACGATAAAATGATGTACAAAGAACGTGCGTGTGTTTAATAAAAAAAATTTGTCGTAAGTAACATTTGTTTATCACGCATGCGTAGTGTGTGTATACGTGTTGCGCGTGTGTCTGTAAGTGTTTAATAATGCGTATTGCTTCCTCTAACATTTCACAATTCATTTATTTGTTGAAAAATACTGTTAATCAAATTTGTTCTTTTTTGTGACTATTTCTCTTTAAAACGGTATGTATACCTTTGTCAAAAAAAATCGTAAAAAAATGTTATAAATTCAGATTTTTTTGAAAATATATGATCTTCAACACATACAATTTTGTACCAGGTAATCGATTCCTTTAACTAATGCAACAGTTTAAAGACAAAAATTTTCTTCCAGGTTTTTTACAGTCTATCTTCAATAGCCGCCATTTTGTAAAATATTGTTTGTAACTCAAGTTTAAGTTTTTGGTTGTTAAGAAAAATGTTTAAGCTTGAAATTGAGCTTTTATTTATCCTGATAATGTTAATTTTTTGCGGAGTTATCCGCTATTAAAACCTGGTAAAAAGTTGTGCTAAAGTTAGGTGGCCCATCTTTTTTGCAGGTGAGTGTATGGCAACTTGATAATTTAATAATATTTTTTTCGAAATGCTACCCTAAACCTTGCAACCGACGGGTTCGGAGGTAGCAGCTCCTGTTCCGGAAGAACCATCCAGCGTTGCAAAGTCATTGCAGCAAACAGCATCACTACCGGATAACGAAAAGCGTTAAAATAGAACGCAACACGTATACAAGACTATTTAATCAAAGTATATTTTATTTTGGAAGAGCAAGTATTGGATCGCATATTTAGCCACTTTTGTACTTATCTTATGTCTATATATATATATATTTTGTATAGTTGCCATATTTGCGTAGCAATCCTACTCGGGGTGCATAATGCCCATTCTGCGTTATAATCAAGAGAGGGTTTTATTTATGTTTTGTTTTGTGTTTTTAGAGTGGCCTAAGGAGGGGACTACTCGCCAAACTGACATTTATCAATATCAAAAACACTTGTTGGGATAACATGCCTAATTATGGGCAAAATTCTGAGAACTAACTTAGTTTAGCGTTGTGAATAATCTGGTTGAGTTTAAGCAATAATAGGAAAGTTAGTTTTGGGTTAGATATTTACCTGTGAAAACTAACCCAAGTTAATATTGGTGTAGCTGCAACAATTGACTAGTCGTTTGAAGGAAAATTGACCTAAAAAAGAAAAAACAATAAGTAGGGTACTATACTTACCTGAGGTTGTTGAAACGGTTAACTCCGTTCATCCGAGTTAGGCACCATCTTCTCCGGGATAGTCAGACAGCTACCTGAAACAGAAAAAAAAGGTTAGTGTAAAGTTAGAATTTGAATTATTGCTAAAACTTACCTAGGTTATGGGTCGTCGGCAGTTGAGTCGGTGCACAGAGTTTGGTCCATAATTGTAAGGGTTAGGCACCTAACATCTGTAGAGACTAGCCTACTCGAGCGACTCAATTATTAGCGAGGTTATGCGTAAAAAAAGGTTAGCGTATGTGTAGCAGGTGGTGAAAATAACTTTCACAATTGCCGGGCAGAGCCAATTGTAGTTTACTGCAACACAAAAACGGACTAGCCCGAGATAAAAAAATTAAAAAACTCTAAAAGTTAAAGATATTTGACACGCGTGCAAATCTACGTTGAGTAAGACGTTTCTCCAAATTTGAGCAATAATTGTGAAGTTATTACTTACCTTGGATTGTCTTATCCACCGTCGACTAACATCACCTGGAACGTCATTATTGATAATATTGCATGTACTGCTAGGTGTTTGTAAGAGAATTAATTGCATAATTTGCAATAATTTGCATAATTCAGTAAATTCCGTGTACTTACCTTCAATATGTGGCCTATCTGCATGCGACGATTTCACCTGAAAGAAACAGTTTGAGTTAGTAATTATTGAAGAAATTTGCGTGCGTATTATTTTTCTTTAAATAAAGCGTTTGTGCAGGTTTCACCTATAATTGTTATTTGAATACTAACTTTATCCGTAGTTATTGTCACCAGAGACTAACTCCCACTGAAATTGTGATTATTGTTAATACTTGGCGTGCGTGAAGAACATTCATTGTAAAGACGATACGACGAGTTTAGCGAATAATTAAGATTTTGTACTTACCTAAGATCCGGTAGGTCCTCAGAAACCAGTAGCACCTGAAACAAAAAAAAACAAAATGAGAATTATGCATAATATTTTGAGGTTGGGAAGAGCTTCGACGAAGAAGGCTACCCACCAAACTTCTTCCATATTTGGAGTGTTAGTGCTTTTCAGTACTTACCTAGTCAAAGTCCTTGTCCGTCGACGACTCTACCTGGAATAAAAAACGGTTAATGAATTGTAAATGAAACTTTGGGAATAGGTTTCTCAAACGTAAACGAGACTAAGTGAGCAAAAATTGTCCATAGTTAAAATTTTTTGGGATGTAGTAAAATAACATGGGAATCAGAATATTGGCAAAACTTTGTGAAAAGATGTGATGTAATTAAAGAAGTAATTTTACAAAGTCTCGTCTATAATTTGACAAACACATTCCTGAAGTGCGTTGCGCATGTGCGGATCTTGGGAAAGAGAAGCGAGTCTTTGTGAAGAGACCAAGCGCGCCGCGCAATAGTCGGGTACGAGTTCCCGAATAGACCGGTTGCTTCTAAAACGTGTCTTGCTCAATTTGTATAACACACGTAGTTATCTGCGTTAAAAAAGTGTTGTTTTCTGTAAACACAAAAACATTGTTAGTTGCAATAAGTGTTTGAAATAAACAAAAGTTTGTGAAATTATTAACTATAAATTAAGAGTGTGGTTTATTTATTACAAACATATTTTACCTCCTGGTGCAATTCTGAGCCAAACAAACGCGAGAAGCCTGTCCAGAGTCCACTTTAGAGGAGAATCCAAAAGCGAAGGCATCGTGGACGGATGTTTATCAATCCGGTGAGTCCGTTCCCTGAAACAAACAAAACAATGAGACGCCTTTCTACTTAGAGGGTCAAAGTAGATGGCGACCGTTTAACAAATTACAAGTCCATCCGGTCACTTTTTTTTTTTTAACTTAGTGGAAATCCTTTATGGATACCCTGGCCCTGGAGGAAACGCCAGGGTTTTGTGGGACTCTCACCCTCTTCCGCAAGAGGGAGATGGTTTACCCACTAAAACCACCACGTTGTGTCCCCTTCGCTCATGATAGAGAGGGACCCGGAATTCCAGTGCTAGGATGCGCGCAGATCCCTCCCTGGAGCTCAAGTAAATCCTGGAAGAGGAGATACGAGCCCTCTCCTTCATGCACAGAATGTGCTTCACGTTCACACTTGGTGACACCGCGGGACACACACACCGCAGTGTCACCCCTTCTCGGACCGCGTATAGGACGAGCTGAGGCCCCCACCCTAGCTCGTCACGGTCCTGCGGCGACTTGATTCTTCGAAAACCACTCCCCCTTCCCCCCCCAAAGTGGACGGTACCACCCCGGAAACTGGACGGTCGCTGCAAGTCTCCCCGAGCGCCGCTCTCACCAGCGCGTCTCCGTAAGGGTGATGGGCTAACGAGGGGAGCCGGCTCCTCCCAACGCCCCCCACCCCGAACCACCACTCTCTCCTTTTTCAAGACGGGAAAGAAGGAGAGAGCTACGTTGCTGTCACGGATTTCTACGACCTCGAGGACGAACGCGGAAAACGGGGGCCCCGCCACCTGCTTGCTCACGCCCTCGGGGTCTCCCCAGAGGAAAAGGAAGCCTTTCCTTCTTTTGTTCTGCTCCCTCCTTCTGCCTCATCACAGTAGAGCAGAAGAAGACAACTGCACCCCACTCTTCCTTTTTCCTGGAGCACAACGCTTTTATTAGGCCCTCCAGGAAGAGGTTCCCACCTATTTTGGCAACCAGTTCTCGACGCTCAGGAGCCCACCGTGAACACTCTTCCACGGTGTGCTCCACTGAGTCACTGGCCGCCCCACATTCGTGACACTGCGTTGTTGGCTTGCGCCTGACGCGACACAGGTACTCACCAAAGCAGCCCGGTAAGTACCTGCGTACACGGTACGTGAGGTGTCCGACCCCGTTGTCCAACCACACCTCTAAGTGGATCCGGACAACCCGGACGACTTCCTGGACGGCGTCCACGTCTGGCTGGCTCAGAAACTGCTCCCAATCAAGGAGCAGCTGTCGCCAGGCTTGGTGCTTCGACTCGGCGAGGGCCTCCTGCTGAGCATCTTTCGCGAGACCCTCCTGCTGGAGTTCGACTCGGCGAAAATATCTCGCCGAGTACATGGCAGCAAGGAGAGCAAGAGGAAGCATCCCCGCCAACACGCCCGACGTCTCTCTAGCCACGGTGCGGAAGCCGCATATTACGCGAGCTGCTACTTTTTGGGAGACGCGGAGCAATCTAAATTTGCTCCGCACTCCTGCCCTCGCAGCGGCTTCCGCCCACAAAGATGCCCCATACAAAGCCACCGAGTGAACAACATTAGCGTAAAGACGACGGACCTTAAACCTCGGACCCCCAAGGTTCGGCTGAATGCGCGCAAGCGCATTGGCTACCTTCCAAACCTTGGGAGCCAAACGAGCAAAGTGCTTATTGAAGCGCCACTTTAAGTCGAGATAGAGGCCGAGGTACTTTATGGTCGTACCTCGACCCGTGTTTTACCTACGAAAAAACTGAGTCCTGGGGGCCGTCCGCGACAGTGGTCATAAAAGCACTTAACTTCTGTTTTGTGGTCGGCTACTTTGAGTCTCTCGATGCGGCCAACGACGCAGTTTGTTCCACATTCGGCCAGCAATCTGGTCCAACTCTAGTCCTCCCCAGAGGAAACTACCAAAAAGTCATTTGCATAACAAATAACCGATAGCTCTCTGAGGAGCGTGGCCTAAATCACCATGTTGTACCCGAAGTTCCACAACAGTGGGCCGAGAACTGACCCCTGTGGAACCCCGCGGTGCATCTCCCTGTGCAGTGGTGATCCGTACCGGCCGGTATCTTTATCTTTTTATTACGGAAGTAGTCACCGAGGAGCCTACTCAGATAGGGTGGAACTCTGTGACGTTCGAAGGCCCACCCTATGCTGTCCCAGGGGAGGGAGTTGAAGGGACTTGAAATATCCAGTGAGACAGCCAGTGCCCTCCTCCCCTGCCTGACCGACGCTTCCGTGAGGGACTTAAGGCGGAAAACAGCATCCACCGTTGACCGTCCCCCACGGAATCCGTACTGGCAATCGGCCAGCTCGGGACCTACTCGTGACAAACAAGTGCTCAATGAGACGATTGGCAATGATGCGCTCCAAGAGCTTGCCCGCCTCGTCGAGTAGACAAATCGGCCGGTACGTGGATGGCGAATCCGCAGGCCTCTCACCTTTACAAAGCAGGACCAGATTGGCTTGTTTCCATGCTGGAGGGAACCAGCTCATCCTCAGGCAATCCGTAAATATTTGCCTGAGGCGCTCTCCCAAGGGACCTAGTCCGAAAGCAAAGCTCAATACTTTGCCGGGCACGCCGTCGGGACCGGGAGCGGTGTTTTTCCGCGTCATCCGACGGACGGCCCGACGGAACTCCTCCTTCGTGACCCCTAGTTTGTTGGACCACTCCGCAGGGTAATCCAACTCTGGCTCCTGGGAAAGCCAATCACCCCTCCCGCCAGGGAAGAGGGTAGACACGACTCTCTCCAGGAGCTGGAGGTCTAAACTCTCCGTAATCGGCGGTGTCCAGGGGCGAAGTTTGCCCATTACTAGACGGTAAGGGCGGCCCCATAGATCCGCGTCGATCGTTTCGAGGAGTTCAGTCCAGGCTCGGGACTTTTCCTTCTTGATAGCGGCTCTTAGGGCTTTGCGTGCTGCGCGGTAACCTTCATACGCCGCCTCCGCTGTTCGAGCTGCCTCGTCGCCAAGATGGAGTCGACGACGGGCATGAGTATATCGTGGTGAGTTCGAATGCTCGTGGTCCGAAGACCAGCAATTTCCTCCGACCACCAATACACGCAATATACACAACCACAAATCACCTTAAGCACACTTGTGGACTATACTATACATATACATAAACATTCACCATAAGGCGACATTCACACATCACACGCTCACCACACGTACAAGTAACACACACACACACACACACACACACACACGCACAAAAGTTCTGCTTAATATTAAAGCCCCTCCAAGATATGATCAAAAAAGGGGAACTACTTCGCGCCGGCGTAGGAAATGCGCGCGCGGAGAAGAAGGCGTGGAACGCCCCGTAAGTCAGTCGTAATGAAACCGTTGTGCCGAGAACATGTATGAAACAGAGTGCAACGAATACAAGGTATTTCGCGGACTCAAAAGCGTACGAGTTATATTAGAGTGATAAATTGTGATTTATAAACAATATTCGAGTTGTACGAAACTGTAAAATATAGTGTAATATATTAAATACCAATCTAATAATTGCATGGTGTAGTGTGTCTTCCAGTTTCTTCCATCCGAATATCCCGATATCCAGAAGTGGCCAGGAGAGGTCCAGAGAATTCTGAAACATAAAAAACCTTAGTATTTATATTGGTTAAAATAACTGGCGACCGTGGCAAAGGCGTATACGTGAGTACCCGGCCAAATTACAACTAACCCCAGTCACAGTGATAATGCATGTCATTGTCGGTGTATAGACGCCATATTGTATGTTTCACGATTTTTTGAGAACTTCATTATTAAACGTGATTGCATTTTTACCCGTTTACCCACTCTTTGGATAAGTCGTACCGATCATAACCTAACCTAACCTTGCGACCGGAGACTTCGGGGAACAAAGTTGAGGTCGTCCAAATTTTGAACGAGTCAATCGATTCAGAGATGGACCGGTTGTTTGACGCGGCCGTCTCTACAGCAGCGGCGCGGCTCCAAGAATTTAAGCAACGTTTGAAAAAAAGAAAAAAGTTCCAGCGTTGGCGCTTACCTGGGAGTGAAGCGGGCCCAAGAAAGCGCAGGTCAGCGTCAACCGGCTGAGTGAGGAAAGGATCAGCCGAAGAAGAAGTTAAGGACAATCAGTCCATAAAACAAATTTATTTTTATTTTAAGATTGGCAGCAGGGTGTATAAGGCTCTGTCCTGTCATTTTTACTTAATGCATTTTTGTTTTTGTTTGTTTTAAAGCCCAATCAGGGAAATTTTATTTAGGATAACTCAAAGTAAAGGGGTCACCCGTTTAAAGTGATATTTAAGTGAGAAACCGTAATTGTTGTTCAAATCTACTGGGATGAACTCAGTAGGTTTGTTAGTGTAAGAAAACGTAAGAATTGGCAACAATTGGGGTAATTAAAATTGACACCTACCAGATATGAAGTTGCGGCAAAGTTGTGAATTGTGGCTAAAACTTTACGTGCGAGTTGTAAACCGTTGTAAGAACCTTCAGTCCTAATATCGGCGACAATTGATAGGTTTTAGTTTTGTAGTATAGGATAGGATTGCCGTGTAGCTACAAAATAAAAGAAACGAATTGTTGACAAAAACACTTGAGAAGTGTTTGGACGGTTTCCCCGGCTGGAGAATAGGCACAATTTACAACAATTAGGGTAGTTTAGTATCATACCTGGGTTACCTCCGGTTTCCGTTTGAAAAGTAAATTGTGATTGGTATTCGGTATGCGGATTCCTGGGTGGACCAACATCACGTCCTGCAACTTTGGTGAACAATTAGGAAGTTTTAGTTTATAGGTGCATACTTACCTCAGGGATTCGTATCAGAAACAAACCCTCAATTGTTGACAATGTTCTCAGGGTATGTTAGTAGTACCGGTTTAGGATGATCCCCAAAGTTTTATCGACATTAAGGACTTTTGAGTTTATACCTGATTTGAGATTATCCTACCTGGAAAAATAAAAAGCGTGAATTGTTGGAAAAACTATCAGGAATAGTCTTTGTGAAACAAATAGGGACACGTGCAATCAAAATTTCTAACAATTTGGCCAAATTTTGTTTATACCTAAAAATTTCATTAGTTTAGAAAAAAATCGGTAAAAGTAAATAACTACTTACCTGGTGATCCCTCGTGGCATCTGGAACATCCCTAAAACAGAAAAAATCACAATTAGGCAATTTTGGAAGAACTTATAAAATTTGATATAATTTGGCTAATTGTTCATGAAATACGTAGGGAATGTTTATTTAGTTATAAATAAACAGTCTGCGTCAAAATTTTCAACAATTCGGCAATTTCAAAATTATACCATATAAACCTATAAAAGTAATGAATTGTTAACGAAATGTTGAGGGGAAGTTTCGGAAAGCCCGGGAAGTCGTCTCTAGAAGTCCCATCCACTTTTCACAAGGATTACGCCAAATAGGTTGTGCGCATGCGCCAAAGTGGGGGAAGCGTCGTGCAGGGATGCCAGTTCGGGTACGTTTACAGCATGCTGCAGCGCGTGGAGCGGATACGCACACAGGCGAGCAGCCGCGTACGTGTGCGCTCGGCGCTTCGGTCAGCTTCGGGCGGTAGAAAAGAACAGACATATANAACCGCTCTCTTTCTATCTCGAGCTATAGCTAATACTGCGAGCCGCGAGAATTATGCCTGGCTTGTTCGTTCTGTCTCGCGCGATGCTTGTATGTNCCCGTGGTTCGTCACTCCCACAGTATTTAAAGACTCCAAACCCTCTCTGTCTGTCTGTCTGTGTATGCGTGTGCGTGCGTGCGTATGTGTGTGTGCGTGCGTATGTGTGCGCGCACGTGTGTGTGTGTGTTACAGCAGAGATCAGGACCCTGTGGTTCGTCACTCCCACAATATTTAAAGACTCCAAACCCTCTCTGTCTGTATGTGTGCGCGCACGTGTGTGTGTGTTACGTGTGTGTGTGTGTGTTACGTGTGTGTGTGTGTGTTTGCATATAAAGTTTCTGTAGACATACGGGATAAATGATTTTCATTAATTATCATGTTCAAAGCTGTTTCCCTCCTCGTCTTCAACGCAGATTTGACTACGCAGGTAGCATTCACATTAGTCGAAGAAAGCCTGTTTCGTTTACATGATTTTATATCCGTTAATAAAGAAAACATTCTTTCTGCTTCGGCATTCGAATGTGGAAGTGATCTAATAGCATTTAGAAGTGATTTCAAATTCGGATATTTGTCAATATTGTCAGTCTGACGGTTTAAAATTTCTTTCCACATATTATTAAAGTTTAATTTAGAAATATTCTGTTTTTCCTCAGTAGTAAAATTAAGATGTAATGCAAGCCATTCTTCCTTTAAACCGTTTTCTTCAAAACCACCTAACATTTTTGCTATAAAAGAAACATCATTAAAGGATGT